TTGATAGAATCTCGTGGTTTCTCAATTCTAATTGTGAGCCAATTGTTGACCAAGGTTCCGTCTCACCTGTCCAATACTCAGCAATTCCTTGAAACATTACGGTCCTCCGACTTTGGAAGGAGTGCTGTAGTTGAATCTTTCGACGTCGTTTCTCTATACCAATGTCCAAAACGAGCAGGCCTTACAAGCATTGTCCGAAATGCTGGATAGGCATGCTAATAGTATCAACACATTTGGGCTCAGTAAAATGCATATAATGACGTTGGTCAAGGAATGCTTGAGTTGCAACATCTTCAAATGGGCAGGGACATACTACTCGCAAGTCAGAGGCTTAGCCATGGGTCAACGACTAGCACCGGTTCTTGCAGTATGCTTCATGGGTAGAATTGAAGAACCGGTACTAGAACGCCTTCCTCTAATGTACTGTAGATATATCGATGACTGCTTCATCGCAACATCAACACAGTCCGAAATGGACGAGTGTTTTCGTATAATGAATGAACAGTCACAGTACATTAAGCTCACACGCGAAGTACCACGAGACGGTTGGCTGCCTTATCTCAACACACAGGTCAAGGTATCCGGAGGCATTGTTAGTGTGAAGTGGTACCGTAAAACAAGTTCGAAGAACATCCTACTTCATGCCATGTCAGCTCATCCACAATTCGTCAAACGTGCAGTTGTCAACAACATGCTGAGAACAGCAACGAGTATGTGCACAGGCGAAGGCTGAACGTCAAGAATCACGACGTTTAGCATGTGAGATAGCTGCCAACAACGGTTATACGGTACCACAGCGTCATGGAAGGCAGCACACTAACACGCGAGAAACACACGCACAACAAGCTGCCACTTTGTCTTCCGTTCATCTCTGATAAAGTCAGTGCTGCTATACAACGGAGCCTTTCTAGGGCGCAGTTGCAAGATGTGGTTCAGTTAGTGAACATTCCTAACAAGAACATCAAGCAACAACTAGTCCGAAACAGGCTCTACGACAAGCAGTGCGCACTAGAAGAGTGTGTCATCTGTCCGTACGGAAAAATTGGTGATTGCGCACAAACGGGTGTGATCTACCAGATTGAATGTCGGGCATGTGGATACACATATATCGGAGAAACAGGAAGACCGCTCGCTAAACGTATCAAAGAACACCTAGCCAGCATGTGGTACTCTTGCAACACCGCTTGGCAAGCATAAAGCTGAAGTGCATGACGGCCACAACTTTGAGATAAAATGCACAATATTGGCGCAGGAGACGGAGATCGCGGCGAGGAAAGCATTAGAGGCGTTTTGGATTTCTGTTAGGAATCCTCGTATGAACAACCGAGACGAGCGTCCGTCAATTTCCAATGATCTCCTCCCATTCATACCATACTGCGAGCTGTGAAGTCACCAGTGTACGTGCGCCTCCGTATTTCGATACGTATAAGGAGACGCCGTAGTAAGTCCCATTCACTACTGGTCAACTGATACTGGTATAGCGGTTATTTCGCTTGCGGTGAAACAGAGTGAGCCCCTCTTTCGATCTCCGGGAGATTCTCATTTGGGTTAGGACCACATCATCGGAAATGCTGGGGTGGATTGGGCTTGGCGGGGTAGTACACATCTCTAAAACTCGAAACACTTTTAGGCCTTTGAAAAAGACGATTACGTCGAAACGTCAGGCCGCTAAAATAAACTGTTCCACCTAAAAACCTCGAAAGGCACAAGAAAACATACTGAATAAAAAGTTCAGAGATAGTTAGTAAAGGAAACGTGTCATTCTCGTGTCGTTCTCCAAAAATTGTGCCACTGAGTGCGCATGAATGGATTCAATTGCCACCCATTCATTTGCCATCACATATCCTTGGCGTTTCTTATGCAGAGCGGGAACGAGCTCTCCTCTCGATGGCCCTCTGAGCTACAATGAGAAATGGATCCTTTCCGGATCGGAAACCCTCTCCAGCGTGAATGGTTCACTCGCCTCCGGTACCTTGTTCTATAAGCAGTAATTGTTAGTGATCAGTCTAGGAAGAAAACATGCAATGGTGATTCACACTTGTGGGTTCATTCTATGACTCTTGAGAAAGCCGCTCGAGCGTAAATGGATTCGTATATTCCCCAGCTCTTTGACCACTTTGCCAGAAAAGGTTGTTTGAGTGTTGGCTGAAATTGCTCCCAAATTTCATTGTTTGCAGAAGTTCGGAGCTCTACACTACGCTTTTACGATTTTTTGAACTGCTTGTATTTGTGCGAACGTGTTGTTCTTGACGAAGGTTATTCTACCCAATAGCGTTTTGTTTGAGTTGTTTTTGAACGTCTATGATTCATGTACAGGCATGGTCCGACTAGGGAATAAACAAGTGGCTGAGATCGCACCTCTAGATAGCGATGGAAAAGCGAAACAATAAAGGAGGACCTGTATTACGAAAGTCTAGTCAAGTTATGTCGCTCTCGTGCTTTTATCCGGCACCTTCGGATCGTTTTGACATCCTCTGTGACTGTGGGCTCCGCCATCTTCTACATCAAAGGGCTTTAGCACCAAACTCAATCGCGGGCGCTGCCTTTCAAGACAGTGGATACGATGAATGGGATCAGGGCGGTTACTGACAACGTTACTGGCGGAAGAGCTGAGTGGCTTGTGGCCGAACACCTCTCGCTCCCCTTCACCAGTGACGTTGGCGCCTTCAACCATCGTGTTCTTCGCCTTTCAAAACCATTAGCCACAGTTCGTGATAGCTTCCAGCTTTGCTTGCTTGTTGCGTGAAGCTTTGCGCTTTCACGCAGCAGAAGTAGGTTAACACGAACAAAAGTGTAGCAAAGTTGCCGATACCGGTTTTAATACAGCCTTCAACAGCTGGTGAACTATCAATGTTCTGAGGTGCGCCAGGCACTAAGTCTCCACTCAGAATCGTAGTGACATTTTCCCTATCATGAACCACCTCACCGCGGTGATAGCTTGTACACCATCAATGGTGGCCAACGGTACATAGGATATGCTCTTCTAGGACGTCAGGACTCTACCGATGAGGGGCCATCTAATCTCGTCAGGGAATCAGGACGTCATCAAAATAATCGGAAACCCGGAAACTCCCCACCCAACGACACAAGGACTGCCTCTTCGTCTGCTCGTATAATTGTCGGACTATTGCATCGGATGCTGATCTTCGAACACTTTGCTGAGGAGTCGTCAAATCGAGATGTTATCGCTAAGAGACGAAGGGCAGAATGGAAACCATTAGAAAAACCGATCACAACGAGCTGCTTATTGTCGGAGCCAAGGTGGATGGCAAGAATGTCGGCGGAGTTGGATTTCTCGTAAACCAGGCAGTGGTCCACCTAGTCGACTCTCACAAAATCGTTAGTCCACGCATCGCTGTTCTACGTCTTCTGACCAAAAATCAAGGAGCCATATCCATTATCAACGGATATGCACCCACCTCCACCGCCACTGACGAAGAACGCGAAGAATTTTACCAGCTTCTGGAAGATACGATTCAGAATGAGAGAACTTACTACAAGTATGTGGTTGGTGACTTCAATGCCCTTATAGGCACGAACCACAACGGCGATTGGCGACTCGGGCCCCATGGACGAACAGTCGAAACGAGAATGGAGAAAGGCTGCTTGACTTGCTGTCTGCATGTCGCCTTTATCACGGAAACTCTTGTTCGAGAAGCCGATTTAACGACGATGGACCTGGGAAAGTCCAAATGGAGAAACGCGTAAGGAAATTGATCACATCCTAACCAATCGACGCTGGAGCCTATTCGACGTATCAGTGCTGCCGTCATTCGATACTGGCTCAGACCACCGTTTGATACGTGCCAAAAAGTATGTCTCAAGAAGAAATTATTCAAGCGCGACAGGCATAGGCCCTTACCTTCGAGGAACTCCCTCCTACAACAGTGAGCAATTGGAAGCTTGCATTGAGGCTCATAGCTGGCATTTGCTGGACGACCCATCAGAAGACTACAAATATCTGGTTGAAGGTCTGTCCAAGTGCGCAGAGCTTTCACGTCTCGCACGATCAGATTCCAACCCAAGTGCTGCCGCAACTACTTTTTCGGAAAAAAAGGCACTATGAAAATGGACCCCAATGCCAGCGCACTTGGAGTCACCATCAACAAGGCATGCCGGTTTGCCGTCAGAGAATCACTCCGAGCTTACAGAAGAACTAGACTGTTGAAGGCGGCAGAAACAAGATCGAGCATCAAACGCTGTAAACGAGATTTGAACGATCAAAGAAATGTCATTTCAGCTCTTATAGACAAGGATGGAAGAATACAAACATCTAGAAGATCTATCGAGGACATCGTTAGTGAATTCTACACGAAGCCTTTCCGCTCTTCGACAAGTGTCCCTAGATGCTCTGTACCGCCTGGACCTCCCTCCTATTCTGGAATCGGAAGTTGCAAATGCGACAAAAAAGATGAAGAAAGGGACTGCTCCTGGACCCGATGGCATATCTGCCGATCTTCTTCGTGCAGGAGGAAAGTCCCTTCACACACTTCTCGCTGAGCACTTCAGTCATTACCTGCAATTAGGAATGATTCCAGAACAGTGGAGAGAATCGAGAACAGTTCTTCTGTTCAAGAAAGGCCAGAGGGAGGAGATTGCCAACTACCGGCCTATCAGTCTGCTCTCGACGATATATAAGTCGTTCACGAAAATACTGCTCAACCGTATGGAACGCATCTTGGACGACTATCAACCACCAGAGCAGGCCGGCTTCCGCAAGAATTTCTCCTGTATGGACAACATACAGGCAATAACACAGCTCATAGAGGAGCCGCGAGTACCATCTTCCACTTGTCCTCGTCTTTGTGGACTACAAAAAGGCCTTCGACTCAGTGGAGGTTAATGCTGTTCTCAACGCCCTTGTGCGAGCCGGAGTACCCTCTGCCTACATTCGCCTGCTCGAACAGAGTTTATCGAACACATCAACAACCCTGCAACTGTTCGAGCGCAAGGTAAAAGTACCCATTGAGAAAGGGGTACGGCAGGGGGACACGATATCCCCGAAGTTATTCACGGCAGCACTACAGTATGCGATGTCAAACCTCAACTGGGATGACAAAGGATACTTGACTGACAGAAGAATAAGCAACCTCCGTTTTGCCGATGATATCGTTTTGATATCCGATAACACAGTCGAAATGGAAGATATGGTAAACGAGCTCGACATGATTGGTCAGAAGATTGGCTTGGAAATGAATATGTCCAAAACGAAAATGATGGTGAACCACTGGTGTGACGCGGGAACCGTGAAATTGGCAGGAGTTGCTCTCGAAAGAGTGG